CACACACACACACACACACACACACACACACACACACACACACAGTTCTTGGTCTGTTTTTACTTACAGCAGTACACTAATTTAAAACAGTTCTGTAGTTTGCTGATGGACAAGGACATAAATACTGAATAAAGTTCATGTTTTATTTTGAAGGGTTCTGGCCACAGCTGTAGAAGACATAAACTGACAGTGGTCCTTTTGGACCCCCTCCCTCACTGAGAGCTGACTTTTGAAAATAAAATACTTCATTTAAGACCAGCCTGTTCTGGTCTGTAGATATTTTTAACAGCAGGACTTGAAATGGAGCCTTATCCCAGCTTTGACTGTTGCTTGTTTTCGGTGTCGTTTGGTTTTTATTTTATTTTATTAGATTTATTGTTGACTGTGTGATTCACTGTTTTGTACAACTTAGAATTTTTGCCAATGAAAAGTGCATTACAAATTAAATTAATCATTGTTGTTAGTATTTCTCAGCATTGCTTTGTTTATTGCTGGTCCATTCACCAGGTCAGGTGGGTAAAGTGTCTTGCCCAAGGACACAACAACGGGGATCAAACCAGCAACCATCCGGTTCCCCTAACCACTCCACAGCCTCCCCGTGGTGTCCTGTGTTTGGTGTGTCCTACTGAGTGTTTGTTTTTGTGCAGAAGTTGTTTTAAAAAAGTCCTGYTGCCTCTCAGCATGGACAACTCCAGAGTGGAAGAGTGTCCAACCCCTCTGGAGGAGACTGGTTCCAGAACCAGAGCGGTGCGTCGAGGTGAGTCCAACTATATCTAGTCAGAACCTCTCAACCTCACACACCAGCTCAGGCTCCTCCCCCACCAGAGAGCTTCTGTAGCTGAGGATCAGACCGCCAAGGTCCTCACCTTCAACCACTGTCCAACACACCTGACCCCTACGGCCCCTCCCACAGGTGGTGAGCCCATGGGAAGGGGGACCCACGTCTTTTGGGCTGAACTTTTGTTTACACAATAAAAACTGTCGTCATAAAAAAGCAGGTTTGCTGTTGTAGCTTTAAACTGAACTCTGAAAAAAAAACCTGCTGTTTTTACACTTTCTGACTCTGACYTCATGAAGATTTAAAACTAATAATTAAAAGAAACTATTGTTAATAACTGCTGCAGGAGTTTGAGCTGCAGACATGAGTTTTACTTGTCTTCACACCMTCAGGTAATAAACTGATGATGCAACAGATATTTAAAGGGCAGCAGAGGTTAGAGCTGCCCTCTCACAGCAGATAAACCCTTCGTGTGTGGACTTTACTCCCTCTGCATGTGGGCTCTTTCTGGTTCCTTCTCACAGACCACCAACATGCACTGTTTGTAAACTGGGAACTATAAGTTGTCTCCAGGTGTCCCTGTGTTGGACCTAAGTTTTGTCCCGGTGTCCCTGTGATGAACATGTGCAGCCAAAACAACATGGAGTCCTTTCATCTGTAAAACATCTTCCTGCAGGTGAAGCAGTGTTTCTGTCCTACCTGTTTTAGGACTGTGTCTCTGAATGTCTTCAACCGAAGCATGAAGTCTAAGGACCTGTTTTCTTGGGACGATGACTGGGACAGCACCACGAAGACACACACACAACGCAGCAACACACTCACGATGGCTGACTTCTCTCTGCATGGCWCGAGCAGCAGAACCATAATCTGTGTCACACGATCCTCATCTGTCTGCAGACCAACATCTGTCACAGCTTTCAGGCTCCACAAAGACTCTGGTGCAAGTTTAAGATCCCAGTCCGATGGTTCTGACTGCACAGGAGGCCAGGTCCAGTCTGAGACCAGCTGAGGATTTCTTCAGGTTCTGTTGTGCAGCTGGATCCAGGATCAAACAGACCAGTCTCTAGGAGAGGAAAAAAGAAAAATCCAGACAAGCTCTGAAAAGTCCCAGAAACAGTTTCCTTCAGGCTGGATCCTCCGTRGTAGAGTCAGAGAAACACACTAACCATAAGCATCCAGAACCAAAACTTATCTCTACGTTCAAAGGAGTTAAAGTTCACTCCTTAAACAGAAAGTCCTGAGTCAGACAGTCCAGTGACAGCTGGGTGGGTCCTTGTCTCCACGTGACTCAGGATAAGGACCGGTGCATGGATACCAGGACAGATGGACAGGCAGATTCCTGCAGACAGCTTCTATATATGCAGCACAGCTTCACGCTCACTCCACCCATTCCTCCTCCTCCTCCTCCTCTGATTCAGATCAAACTGCAGTTATGCAACTTCCCGTCTCAGACGACCTGACTTTGGACATTTCCCTTGAATCTGATTGTTTTGGAGATTCAACCTATTGAATATGATTGGAGTTCAGCCTGTTAGTTTGGTTGTGTCCTGGGACAACTTTAGCTGTGAAACAATATTGAAATAAGCTGAAGAATTCTMTGAAACTTCAATGTTTCCATCATCTGAGCCAGAACCTGTCTGCCTCTTCAGAAACATCAAAGTTTGATCTGAGGAGTTGATCATTGTTGCTGCTCAGATCTTAGAAGTGTCTGTCGTCAACCGTTTATCATTTAATTTGGTTTAAATGTTTCACATTCTGTTCTTTTATATAACTTTTTCCCTTTAGTGAAGCTACAAGTGTCGCTCATAGACCTGATTATAGATCAGTAGACGAAGCCCCGCCCATCCTGTCCACAGGTAGTCTGTGACATCATGGAGGAGCAGAAACACCTAACAGGACAACAGCTGAACTGGATCTGTTTCACACATTATCTGTCACGTTTTTACAATAAATT